TGTTCAGATTTTACTTCCCTTCCCATGGCCAGGAGTTGTTCCTTGGGAGAGATGAGGAGTATGCTGTTGGCTTGCTGTGTTCCCTCATGCTCTAGTCGCTGGGAGAAGTGAACAACCAAAGAAGTAGGTCCTGCAGTTCTTGGAATGTGGGATCTCGGACCCTGTGATTAATCTTCACACTGAAGAAGGTCATAGAAAGAAGCAGGGAATTAAGATTGACCTCCTCCTTTTTCTCCCTCCCTCCTCCTTCCTCAGGTCCCCCCAAGAGAGACTGTGCCTGCATGCAGATACAGATAAACTGTCTGCATCTAAAATTTCATGTGGATAACTCACCTGAGAGGACATGATGGCTATCTGTATTTCCTTGCCTTCATACGAGGGTCAGATTGGTGATATAAATCCGAAAACCAATCAAAATATAAGAACATAAGAACAGAAAAGAAGCCAATGTTGGGTCAGGCCAATGGCCCATCCAGTCCAAAACTCTGTCACACTGTCCAAAAATACCAGGTGCCATCAGGAGGTCCACCAGTGGGGCCAGGATACTAAAAGCCCTCCCACTGTTGCCCCCTCCCCAAGCACCAAGAAGACAGAGCATCACTTGCCCCAGACTGAGATTGCCTATCTATCCCTTGTGGCTAATAGCCGCTGATGGACCTCTGCTCCATATGTTTATCTAATTCCCTCTTGAAGCTGTCCATGCTTGCAGCTGCCACCACCTCCTGTGGCAGGGAATTCCATGTGTTAATCACTCTTTGGGTGAAGAAGTACTCCCTTTAATCTGTTGTAACCCGACTGCTCAGCAGATGTGTAGAATACCGTAGTTCTGCAGATGGGTAGAATAGTCCTCTCAGTGTGGACAGGATTCCATAGGGAGAAAGGAGCCATTGGTACATGATCATTGATATTGCCATTAAAACATCATTGAAAATGTGACTACAAAATTATCAAAGGCGCAGACATTGTTTTCCCAGTCCTCTAAGCCATGATTCTGGAGGATCAGGAAGCATGCCACAAGCATTGTTTCTTTTCTTCTCCTTTCTTGGCTAGTGTATTGGATTTCTTCTCTTACTCCTTCCTTTGAGCTTAATATAGCTTGTCATGCTGTCCAAATACAAGCACAGTAAGGGGAGAAAAATCGGAGAGGATTTTTCTAAGAAGAAGCTGCTCTGGTAACCCCCACCCCCCGATGGATTTTCGATCACTGTGAGAAGGCCACCCATTGCTGTTAGATACATGGTGGCCTGGATCCAAAAGGGCTCCATGTGGTGTTTTGCCATGCAGTGGGGCATTTCTGTGCCTCTGTTGCACACACAGACACACAAGCAAGCTGCTGTTGCTGACCCTTTGGTAAGAGAGCCAGTTGGGTTGTAGTAGTTGATGTGTCAGAAGGGTCTGAGAGGCCAGGAGTCATATCTTGGCTGTGCCATGAAGCTTGCTGGGTGACCTTGGGTCATTCACACATCCTGATCAATTTTATGTGGATTTTTTGTGAAAATAAAATGGAGTAGAGGAGAACAGCGTATGCCACTATGAGTTCCTTGGGGAAAGGATGGGAGAAAAATATATTAAATCAATAAACTATAACAGTTACAGCTGCAAAGGAAAATCCACAGCTCTCCCTTCCCTGTTTGTACACTGAAATTCCTTCTGCTCATAAACAGGGTTCTTTGGATCACATTCCGTATTACAGAAAAATTTCTTTGATGTAGACATAGAAATAAGACTCCTTTCATGACACAGCAGCATGTGCAGGCATTCCTTTGCATTCCTGATGTAAAGCCATTGTAGCATCCATAGTCATTTTTTATAAAAGATATTTTAAATGAGCTACTTCAATGCGTATTTATTTTTGTACGACTGTAAATGGCTTTTGTTGTCTCCCCCCCCCGCCCCCAATTTTGACATCATGTTGTAAATTGTTCTCCTAACAGGCATTGTTTGAATACATTTTCCACCATGAGAACGATGTTAAGAACGTAAGTCGCTCTTCTTTATTTCTGTAACTCAGCATTTTTCAGCTGAATGACACTTTGAAAAAGTAAGCCCTTCTGTTATAATAAAGGCCGGGAAGAGTCTGGTTTTAATTGGGAAGAAATTACAGCTGCTAGAATCTTGGCATTGCTTGTTAATTTCAGAAAAATTTAAAAGAGCTATAACATGGTTTAAGCTATTGGCCTATGAAACGGTGCACTACTAAGTGTGTTGTGTAATTCATTTGAAAGGGTGGAAACAGTTCATCTTCTTCAGCAACTTGGCTGCTCAATAGAACCCTACCTACCTTAGATAAATAGATGTTTAAGAGCAGAGAATTACGAACTGGGAATTCAGGACAGATTGGGGAGTTTTGTGGAAATTCTGCACTTTAAACATGTTGAGCGTCACCTGTATTGTTTGCAGCAAGTACAGAATCCCTTCTTTACTTATTATATGAAAGAAATTCCTAGATAGGAAAGTATAGGGTTGGATCCAGTCATGTGTGAACAGGATTTCTTGCAGTTGGATCTTCTTCCCTGTCCTTCAGCATCCCTCCTGTTGTGCACCCTGGCGATCCTCTGCTGAGGCTTCGGGAGGACCCTTATAAACAAAAGGTTGCCAGGGGTGGAGTAGGGAAGGAGCACAGGACACATTTGCTTCTCCCTGGTTGTGTATGAGCAACGGTAAGCTAGGTTTAAGGTTTGCTGAGTTTACTTAAGAGGAGGAAAAGGTGATTTTTGCTTGATTTCCCCCTCCTTACTGCAGCCCCCCCCCCCCGCCGCGGCCATCTTGTGTATAATGCTCCCTCTAAGCTGTGGAGTCTTGTGAGCAAAAATTCTACATTGTGAGCTACTGGCATTAAAGTTGTGAGCAAGTGATTTGGCTGCTGCATCAATTAGTTTGGCTCTGGAGCCATCCTTCCTGAGCTGAGACAAAAATGTGTGAGCTGGAGGCTAAAAAACTGTGAACTAGCTCACCCTAACTCAGCTTAGAGGGAACACTGGATGGGAGTCTGCTGTGGAAAAAGAAAGACAGAGAAGATCCGCTTGCGTGAGCTCTTTGCTTGCTTAGGTCTGGCCCCAGTGTATGGATGTTGTGTTTTTATCTGCAGGCGAATCTTATCTTCCCACATAGCAGGTAGTTGCAAAAAGCTACTGTTTGCTTCCTTTCTGTCCTAGGAATATTTTAATGCCTGAACTGTTTATAATAATGTTGTTATTAAAAAAGGAAACTGTTGGTTTCTGATAGTCACCAAATTATGCTCAAGAAGTCTGCAGCTCATGGCGCTACCTAATCATGACCTTGCAGTATGATTCACTTAATTTATTTTATTTACCATATTACCATCTCAAAATAAGGATCGGATTAAATGTTTATGTTTGTTTTGCTTTCAGTGTGGAAATTTCTTATGGACGACAGCAAAATTCACTGTAAATGTTAAAAAAAAAGCACTAGCAATTTGAGGAGCAGAACTGTCTATATACATTCTAAGTGTTGTAACATGATGTGTGGTACAAGGTGTTCTACAGTTGTGGGAGCGGCAATACAAACACATTGCTGAGCCGTTTTCCTCCAGCAGTGCTTCTTCTCCCCCACCTGCAGACTGTTTCTCCAACAGTAAAATGTAGCTTGAATGTTTAATTAGAGGAAGCAGCTGGAGAGAAAAGAGTCTAAGAAACAATGGTGTTCTTGTGACACGTGTGCATTACTGAATTGTAAGTACAATTGATTTCAGTTGAACTTGCCTGGTTCTTGGTTAGCAGAAGTATGCATGATTCAGCCTCATAGATTTTTAAATTAAACATTCCAAGATTATTTTTCCAGAGTGATGTTGGCTGACCATGGCCAAGATCCAGAGGACCTGAGTTGTTCTCAGAGTTTCCTTTTCAGAAAGGACCACCCACATACCCCTAATTTCCTTTTTAAGCTCTGTGATTCAAAAAGTAGTTTGATTCAAGAGTTTTTTAAGAGGAAATGACATCAGTATACATGCAGTTTGTACATTCTGCAGGAGTGCAAGTTCATCATGCACACATTCTGTTTGGGATCCCAGCTCATGTTTGGAAATATTTTCAAGTGCACCTGCAATTTCTGTTAGCATTTATTGGAATTGCTTCAACTGAAAGGAAGTATGTGGGTTTTAATTTAGTCTAAATTGTCTGCCTTAATCACTTGGTTGCACAGGCACATTTTGAGATAATTGAACTTTAGTGGTATAAAACATACAGCCAGCGACGAGTGCAGACCTTTGAAATGTCATATCAGAACAGTGGGATGTGAAAGATCTAAATTGTTTCTACAGCAATTGGCACTTCCAAGCATGTGGAAATTTCAGAAGCAAAATTACATTATAGTATACACATGAGTTACCACTGAGGGATTTACAGCCCAGTCCCGAGGCCCCAATGCTGATATATTGCAGACATAAATGCAGCACTACAGTCACTCATCAGAAGGGAAATATGCACAAAATCAGCCAGTTCCATTGTTCAGGGGACATTGCCGTTGAACTGGACTCCATAACAACCCTGCTGAAACCCACCAGTCAGGGAGCAGCATGTTAATGATGCCACCAGGACAGCTAGAGATGAAAGTAAACAACCAGTGCTCCCCAACATGAGCTCCCATGGCCAACTTCAGCCTGCTTAACCACCCATAAGCAGAACACAACAAGGAAGGGAATAAAGGGAATCCCACACATACATGCAGTGTAGGGTGGACCGTGACGTGAACATTAAGAGCTCTGGGATAAACAGGAGCCCACAGAAGCAGGCTGAAGTTCTTTCCTGCAACCACCTTTCCTTTTTCCAGGTGGACCCATGGGGGAGAAATAAAGGCCAGTCCTCCAGCATTCCTCACATGCCTCTCACTTAGCAGAGGCAACTGCAGTAGAACACCCCAAACCTTCCCTGTACAAAAAATTGGGTCTCAGGAGCATCAGTTTTTTGCTAGATGAATACTGACACTAGTGTAGCAATAAGGGAACAGAAATTGCCGATTTCTAGAAAGCATTCCCATCACAGAAAGGGTTTATTGAAGATAGAACTCTTGAAAACTAGTCCGCAGTAGGCAGACAAGACGTTGTATGTAGAGGGTGCTGCTGTGTATAGAGGTAAAGGATGTCATCAAGTCATAACCGGCTCATGGCGGCTCCATGAAATTTGACCTCATGGGGTTTTTAAGGCAAGAGGTGAGCAGAAGTAGTTTGCCATTGCCTCCCATTGCACAGCAGTCCTCGTCTTCCTTGGTGGTCTCCTGTCCAAGTACTGACCCTGCTTAGCTTCAATGCTCTGACAAGATCAGGCTAGTCATAGTTTGTAAGAAAAGCTGTCAATCAGTCCTTGTCTGCCTAAATATGAATGAAGACTTTTTGTATGTTTTTAGAGAATATACAGGTAGGCCTTCAAACGTAATAATAGTAAGTGGGCTCCTAATATTTTAGAAGCATAATGTGAAAAAAGAGAGTATTGCTGGAGTCTGCTGCATTCCCTGTAGTACTTCTCTGGGGGGGAAAGCGCAACATTTTTCTTGGCAGTTGCTATTGAATAATGTCATTGTCTGAGTGTGACTGAGCATACACTGAATGTATGCTATAGCGTTGACAGGAACGCCATGAAAAGGCTAGGGTGAAGAGGGCACAGTATTTGAAATATCAAAGAGCATTGTTGACATGAAAAGTAGAGCATACTTGAAAAGCTTCCCAATAACCAGTTTCTTGCCCTTTCCTATTCATGTGGGTGCAGAGAAAATATATTAGACCAAGAGAGGTCAAGAGAGTTATGGTTATTACTTTGCCTTTCTGCCAATTTCTTGAAGTTTCTAAAGAAGCTGTCCAGTTTGCTTTTCCCCAGAATTAGAGTGCCAAAATGGACAGCCAGATCCTAAACTTTAATCTGTCTGTACTGAAAATAAATTGTGTTTACTTGAATCCTACCAGCTCAGCAAAGGTTGAATCCTTTCTCCAACCTAAGGAACCTTCCTCTGACAAGAAAAAGGGGTGGGATACAAGCCACTGTATTCAAAGGAGGGTGGGTGGGGAGGAATCTGCATTCCAGAGTGCTTTTTATGTTTGTAGAATTTGGCCCTTGTTTACTATACAACCTGTAAGTGTGTTGTTTTTCTCGAAATAATTGGGCAAAATGCTTCCAGAACATTTTTCTCATGTCTCTACATGTGCAAGGGTAGGGATGTTATTTTTTAAATCAGTACTGGGTGCCAGGTCAGAGTAATAGCCCAGATATGCACTACTAGCCTGACACCCGTGCTTCGCTACGGTATTTAAGTTCCATAAATCCAGTTATAATACCAATGATGTGAAGCTTGAAATGTTGTAGGAATTCTAGTGGAGAAGATTGTAGTGTAAAAATGAAGTGAGACATACGTACTCCCCCCCCCCGTACCGGAGGACCTCTCTGTAGACCACATTGGTGGTTCTGCCCTCAGGTGCTAGGATCACCAGGCTGCTTGATGAGCTCACTCTGGAGCAGGCAACATAGAATTGTCCATTTGAGAAGCAGTCGTCTGTTAAATCCATTCCTGCCACCTTCCACGAAAGTGATGGCGTCTCTACTTGTGTTCCTGGATTGTTTTGCTCATATGGAGACTGTGTTGTTCTGAGCACCTCAGTCTGATCTTGCTGGTACTTGGCCTGCGTAGCTCAGTGCCCCGCACTGTCTTTGCCACATTCCTAAGTTGCCTCCTCCTGGCAGCTGCCTGTCCAGTGTAGGAGCAGGAGGGGGGAGGAGTATTAGAAGCCACTGTGGAGGCGGGACTGGCAGGATCACTAAGGCGTTAATGCTGAGGTGGGCTCCCTCATGGCTTTAAGCACCCTGCAACCACTGCTGCACCTGACAGACAACCGCCTGTTAGGTGTAAGAGGTGGGGGGAGTATGTTGGAAGCCATCAGAGAGGCTGGGCCAGCAGCATCGCTAAAGTGATCCTGCTTGGGCAGCTTCCCTGGTGGATTAAAGTACCCTGGCCCTCCTCCTACACCTGACAGACA